GGAAAAAAAAAATAAAGTCGTGTCAATTTTTTTTGTATACCTTTGAGGAAAAAAGAGAGAGAGAGAGAGGAGGGGAGAAAGGGGGAAGGGGGAAAAGAGAAAAATAAAAAGTATGCAGCAATAAATAAGTAAGGGAACAAATATCTCTAGGGAGTTGTTGTTGTTGTAACGAAGAATGAAATTCTGGTCCCTTTAAAAACGTTTTTTTTTTTCTGTATTGCGTGTGTTTTTTTACTCTATGACATTATTTTAAAAAATTTCGTTTAATAACCTTTGAGTTTATGTACGTACGAACTGTAGCAAAAGGATGATAATATTAATAATGATAAAATGAAGGAGGAATGTAGAGAATGAATGAATGAATTACGTCATGAAGTAAAATTTATCGTGATTGTTATATACGACGACGATGATGATGATGATGCACTTATTATATTTCATTCTTAGGCGCCAAAATTTTTTTTTTCAATTTAATCCGCGCCTTTTTTATTTAAAAAAAAACTTTCAAATATTTTTATTTGCTATAAATAATATCGTAAAACCCGCGAAAAGAATTTTATTTTTTAATGTGAAAAGTGGATTTCTTTGTGAAAGGAGTGGAAAAAAAATAATAATGGGGAAAAAGGAGGAATGAAAAAGGATAAAAAAAAAAAGAAAACAAAGGATAAAAGAAACTGGGTCAACAACCTACGATTGTTTTCCTTTCCTTTGGCGCCGAAATGGGATTCGTTATTTTATTTAAATGTTTTCTGTTCGAATTTTTGGCACGACGCAAAAAAAAAAAAAATTTTTTATGTGTGTAAGACTCGAATGATTCTTAAAAATTTTTTGTTTATTTATTTATTTGTACACAAAGTATACGTTTTTTCTATAAAAAAAGATAATAATAATAATAATAATGATAATGATGATGAAAACGAAAGCCGTGGAATTAGAAAAAAATTTTTATTTTTATGAATCGTATATTTAATTTTTTACGGGGGGATTTTTCCCCAATAAAAAAAATATATATATATTTGACGTACTTCCGGTTTCGCTTTCGAATAAAAAATGAAAACCGGAAACGGAAACGCATCGTAATTTATTATTTTAATTTTTTTTATTGTCGAAAAGTCGTCGTCATCATAGTTTGTATGTAAAAACCGAACGAAAAAGTTGCAACGACGGGGAGAAAATTTTTTTAGAAAAATACATGGGAAAATTTTTTTTTTTTTGGTGGGGGGAAGAGGGGAGAGGGTTTTAATCAATCCGACTATCGAATGAAAATTCATTTTTTGAAATTTTTAAAAATTCAATTTTAATTTTTATCAATTTAATCAACCGTAAATTTTATTTTATTATTCGTTAAATTTTTTTTTTTTTTAATCGGTGATTTTATTAATTTTTATGCTTATCGATTTTATTGATTTTTTTATAACGAAATTTCCCCCCCCCCGTCTCCAACCCCGGTGATGGATACGTTTTGTAAAAATATTTATCGGGAGAGAGGGAGGGATTATCTCACTCGTGTTTCCTCGAGAGGCGACCCCGTGCAAAAAAAAAGAAATCGTAATCGGATAATGGGAGATGGGGGGAAATTGTGTAGAACGTCTATGCTTTATTCTCCTGCCACTTTTCCCCCCTCCCCTTTAAACGTTTGTCAAAATTATTTATAAAAAGTAATGTTCCCTCCCCTTCCTCCTCCTCCTTCCCCTTCTTTTTTTTTTTATCTTTTGACACGATGTTTTTATATTTAATTGAAATTTATTTATTTATTTATTCGTTTATAACAATTTTTATTATTATTATTATTAATTATTGCCACGTTTTTTTATTTCACTATGGAATTAGGACATTCGGATTTTTTTTTCGTTTTCCACGATGATGATGATGATGATGATGAAGTTTTCCAAAACAAAAAAAAGGTTTAGCGAAAATATCGTTAAAAAATTTCTCGACTTTCTTTTGCGGTTATTTAAAGATATTAAAATTCGTAATTCGCATCATCATCATCATCTTTATCATCATCATTATCATCGTCGTCATCGTCGCGAAAGAGAAAGATGCGAAAACAAAACAAAAAAAGTAATTAGCAAAGGATAAAAGTTTTTTTTGTGGGAAGGAAACCGGATATAATGAAGAAAAAAAAATAAAAAAAAGGTTTTCAAATTTTTTTTCGTGGATTCATCCGGTATGAAGTGAGGAGAAAAAGAAAAATGGCGGTGGTGGCGGCGGTTTATCGAAGTTATCCCGTTTTTTTTTTTTTTTTTAAACTTTCTTAAAAAAAAAAAAGATTTAAAAAATAATTTTTTTTTTTTTTTTATATTTCGTATAGAATTTTCCAAATGAATTTTCCGATCGGAAAATCATTTCATACAAAAAAAAAAACTCTTCGTCATCAATATTGACTCGAATAAAGAAGGGAAGAGAAGGTTGAGGAGGGGGGTAGTAGGTAAGATTATTTTACGGTTTCAAGATTAAAGTTTTTTTTTTGCGTTTGTGTAACAGTGCTGACAACAAAATAAAAATTGAAAAATTTTCAAAAGGAAATCTTAACTCGATTGTGGTAGTGGGGGAAAAGATAAAATGAATGCGACGTCGTTAAAAAAAAAAAAATTTCACTTTTTTTTAAACACATCAATAAATAAAAAATTTTATTGCACGACGCCATATTGAAATTAAATTTTAAAATGTCAGTTATATGTTAAAAAGAAAGGAAAAAAAAAAAAATTGAATTTGATGTTGTGATGTTTGAAACGAGAGTGAAGAAAAAAAAAGTAAACGATTATCATCATCATCATCATCATCATTATTATTATTATTATTACTTTAATTTAATTTTAGTTTAAATGAATGGCACGGATGGCATTTTTTTCCTTTCCTTTTCTTTATCCTCTCATTCCCCCTTCTCTTCTCCCCTTTTACTCCCTCTCCTTTTCTCTTTTTATCCCTTTTCGAGTAAAAAAAAAAAAAAAAAATGGCGGCGGAAAACACAAAAATAAAAGGAAAAGTAAAAAATTGTGTTTTGGAAAATCCTTTTTCGAAAAAAAAATTAAAATTTTTCCCCATAATTTTCTCATACAACTCCGGTTAAAATTCAAAAATGGTTTTAAATGTTAATCCCATTATTATCATCATTAACATTTTATTTATTATCATTATAATTATTATTATTATTATTATTATTATTATTATTATTATTAACATTTGTCAATCGTCGGATTACAACGTGTTATTTGTAATTTTATACTAAAAAAAAGAGAAAAGTTTAAAAAAAAAAAAAAAGTAAAACTGTCTGACGTTGACAGGTTCAACAACATCAGAAATTAAAAATTTAAAAAACAAACAAACACGACACGACACGACGACAAACAATGATGACAAGGACGACGACAACAACAACAACAAACGGGAAATTTTTTTTTTTTTAATTTTCGTTAATTTTAAATTTAAAAAAAAAAAAGTAAATAAATTCGTATTCGTTTACTCCTTTTCCCCTCCCTCCCTCTTTTATCTCCTCCCCTCTTTCCATCTCCTCCGTCACTTCCGGTCGAAACGAAGAGGAGAAGGGGGAGGAGAGAGGGAGGGGAACGTAATTAAAAAATTTTTTTTTTTTGATTTGTCATTGTTGTTTGTGACGTACGACGACGACAAAGAAAAAAAATAAAAATCATAGAATAAATAAATTTTTTTTTTTTTTAAGGTTGGCAGGTTGGTTTTAATACCGAGTTAATTTAATATTGAGTAAACGGGGGGGATTAATAAAAAAAGAGAGAGAGAGAGAGAGAGAAAAAACGAAAAAAATTTAATTTTTCTTTTTTTTTGTATCGAATAACACGTCGGTATTTATTTTTTTTTATTTAATAATAATAATAACAAAATTGCACCGATAATTAATCGTAAAAAAATTAAATTTCAAAATTTTCCTCTATTTTCTTCCCCCCTTCTCTCTCCCCTCTCTCTCTCCTGTACATTACAACAACAACAACACGAACGGTAAAAAGTTTTTCTTCCTGAGTTTTTCCAATTAAAATTTTTTCACGTTTTACACAACATTCGAATTTAATTTTCATCATCATCATCATCATCATTATTATTATTATTAACATCATCATAGAGCGGATTACGGCAATAATAATAATAATAAACGGATTCGTTTTTATTTTTTATTTTTTTTTTTGTTGGCACCGCAACGATTTCTGAAAAATTTTCCCGCAGAAAAATTTTACACCGTCTACTATTATCATTATTTTTTCGTTTAATTATTAAACGGAAATCGCGTCGGTCCGAGAAAATTATTTACATTTAAAATTTTGGCAACACTGTTAATTATAAATAACGTTTAAAAACTTTTGTTTTATTATTTTTTTTTTTTTTTAGGTTGTTTAAAAATCCTCTTAGTGATGAAAAGTTTGAGGAAAATTAATTGCAAGAATGTTTTTTTAATTACGTCAAAAATCTTTCCCTCTCTCTCTCTCTTTCTCTCTTTATCTTTTTTATCTATCTCTCTCTCTCTTTTTCTCGTTTTTGTATTAATACTTGATTTATTACTATATTATATATATAAATATTTGGTTTTCTTGTTGTTTTTGTCCGGTTTACTCTAAACTAGTCCAAAAAGGAAATTTTTTCTTTTCTCTCTCTCTCTTTTCAATTCATTTAAAAGATTTAAATTTTCCAGTTTTGTGTTGTTTGTTGTTGTTTGTTGTTGTTGTTAACGGATTTCCTAAAAATTATCACAATAAACAATATTTTCCATTGTGATCCATCCCTTTTTTTCTTCTCTTAAAATAAATATTATTATTATTATTCTCGCGTTTGAGGAATTTCTCGCTGAGCAAAAACAATAAAATAATCACACACAATTATGAAGAAAAGCCGGTTGTTGTTGTTGTCATTTTGCCGTTTGTCGTCGATATTATTTAATATTAAATAATTTTTTTTTTTTTTATGTTTCAGCTTCTAGAATCAGGTACGAAATCACGAGCGGTAACATAGGAGGAGCTTTTGCTGTTAAAAATATGACGGGAGCCATTTACGTGGCAGGAGCATTGGATTACGAAACGAGAAAAAGAGTGAGTTTTCCTTTTTTCTTTTTTTTTCCTCTTTTTAAATTTCTAAAAAAAAAATTAAAAATCTTTTTTCGTACTCGAACATTTTATTAATTCGAATGAAACAAAGAAAAAAAAAACCGGAAACGGAAGTAGATGAAAAATCAAAATTAAGTACCTTTTTTATTCTCTCCCACGTTCGCATCGATTTTTATTTTTTAATTATCGATCGGAAGTTTGTTTTAAAAAAAAAAAAAAAAATCAATTTTTTGTTTGTTTGTTTGTTTGTTCGTTTGTTCATTTTTCCTCACAAACAAAAGAAAAAACAAAAGAGAAGAGAAAAAAAAAAGGTTTTTGCTGTTTCCGTTACGATTATTATTATTTTTTTTTTGTTCTGTTTGTGTGTGTGTATTTTATCTCTGACGTTTAATTTTCCAATTTTTTTTTGCTACAGTTGAAGGGTTTTTAGGTTGTAAGAAATCGAAAACTGAATTCCGTCGATAAATAAATGAAAAAAAAATTAAACAACAGGAAAATCACAATTTAAAAAAAAAAAAAAATGGCGTCGGCTGCTGTGGGGGGAAAAAAAAATGGTTTTTCGTTTAAAGATTATCCTACGGGAGCAGTCATATTGATTTTTTTTTTTTTTTTTTTAGCAATTAAAGTTAAAATGCCCGTTAGGAATTAATCGAAAGCAAAAACTTAATTACAGCAATTATTTTATTACTCTTGTTACTACTTTTGACAAAGTTGAGTTGAAATTTTTGTTAGTTCGTGCATCAGACGACGGTTAAAAAAAGAAATTAATATTGATTTGAACGGTAGCAAAATTAATCGAGATTTAACGTTAGATAGAAGATGATAATGATGATTTATTTGACCGTGAAAAAAATATAAGAAATAAATTGTTTTTGCTGCGGTTTAATTTATATCAATGACGTTTCATCAGTTTTTTCTTTTTTTTTTTTTGTCAGCTTTTTTATTTTTCCGTTTCCGTTTTTCTTTATTTTTATCGCAAATAAATTTTCCGGTTTTTTGATTTTCTTTTCCAATCGTTTGTTTCGTTTTAAAAAATTTTAAATTGTTTTGACGGATGTTTTTCCTTTTTTTTGCCATTGTTAATCGAATTTTGCTACCGTTTAACTTTTTTCTTTTTTTTTTTCCTCAACAAATCCAATTCGTATTTACGTATAAACGATTCGGATTCGTCGAATATCATTTTTAATTAAATGAGGAAAAAAATAAATAAACGTTTCCGATAGCAAAGAAATCTTAACCGACGCAAATCGTTAAATTTCGTTTTGTAAACAACCGACAACGGGGAAAAAAAAAATAAAAATTATTCTTTATTTATCTTTGTGAGGTTTTCCAACCGGGCGAATATTATTTGTAATACTCGAACGATAGCAAGAAACTTTTAATATGTGTTTTTGCTCTCCGAATGAAAATATTTGCTATTAAGTAAATAAAACGTTTCGTTGCCTTGCTTACACGAAATGGCTCTTGAAAAAAAAAAAAAAAAAATTTTAAATTTTCAAACGAGTACGTGAGTGTGACGTGGTTTTTTTTTTTTTCTATTATCATTATTTTACCGAAACCTTTAACGACAGGTACGACGGCAGCAACAATAATAATAATAATAATTAACCGTTTAGTAATGGCGGATTAAAAAAAAAAAATTTAAATATTTGACGATGGAATTTTTTAAGTTTAAAAATTGAAAAAGCGCGCGCGCGTGTGTGTGCGTGTTTGAGAGAGTGAAAGAACAATTTTTCCCGGGGGTGAAAAGATTATGAAAATAAGTTTTGAAAACTTATTTTATAAGAGTGGGGAGTCTGAGGGGGGAATTAGGGGGGGGGTTGAAAAGGTTACATTACAAATTTCAAAACAATATTCGAAAGTTAAATTAAAAAAATTAAATTTTTTTTTTTTCTTTGTTTTTAAATAAAAATTATTAAAAAATAAAAAGAAATGACGTCATCATCACGTCTAGTACCACGTTAAAATGTGAAATTAACACCGTAGCCGACGTCATGTCAGAAAAAAGAATAAAAAAATTACGATGTTGGTATTACAAATAAGATGATGAGAAAATGAAAAAAAAATTTTTTTGTTTTTTTTGTTTTTTTTTTTTTAGTACGAATTACGGTTGGCAGCATCGGATAATTTAAAAGAAAATTACACGACGGTTGTCATACATGTGAAAGACGTTAATGACAATCCGCCGGTATTTGAACGTCCAACGTATAGAACTCAAATAACGGAAGAAGATGATAGAAATCTTCCAAAACGTGTTCTTCAGGTCAACCGAAAATATAATTAATAATAACCGAATGTTGCTTGTTGTTGTTGTTGTTGTTGTTGCATGTTTGTCGTTGTTTATGTTTATGTTTATGTTTTTTTTTTCCAGAAGCTGCTTATTTTTCCGTTTTTTGTTTTGTGCGTCCGTAGTTTTACCACGCATGCTATTATTGTTTTGTGTCTTTTGCATGTAGATGTTGTTGATTTTTTTTTTGTTTTTTTTTTTTGCTTTTTTCTCCGTTTTACGTTCCTTTGGATGCTAGTATACCTTGAGATTATCGGCATCGGATAGTCTTAGTGAAAATTATACGACGGTAGTGATAAACGTAAGAGACGTCAACGATCTACCACCCGTTTTTAGTTCGACAATGTATTCGGCAACGTTACAAGAAGAACACGAAGGTCCATATCCCGTCAAATTACTCCAGGTAAGTTTTCCGGGATTCCATTCCCGATCCTCAACGATGAGGTACGAAAATGAATTCGATCTCGATATTTCCAAAAGAGAGAGAGAGAGAAATATAAAATCTTAACCTTTTTCACCTTTTCCCCATTATTTCTTTTTAAAGGTCGTCGTCGCTTTCGATTTACTTTACCGACCGCCCCCCCTCCCCGTCATTCGCTCCCCTTTCTCCTACGCCTCCCCCTCCTCTTCTCTCTTCACCTATTTTTTCTTACTTTTCCAAGGCGAAAAACTTTTTCTTTTTTTAACTGGAAAACTTTTGCTTGACCGAGTCAAGAAAGGATTTCAAAAAAAAAAAATTTAACTCTTGAAAAAACTTTCATAATCTTTTTTATGCGACTGACAGTAATCGTATTCAGAGTGTTCAGGATTTAAATTTCCATTAATTTAATAATAATAATAATAATAATAATAATGATGATGATGATAATGATAATAATAATAATAAAAAAAAATGAAATTTATCTTTCGCCGTATAAATTTATTAGTTCACTTTTTCTTTTTTTTTCTTTCTGGAAAAGTTTGGAAAAATTTTTTTTATTTTTTCGAATCGACCATTGTGTTGTCATACCTCCTACTTCTACCCACCATCTCCTCCTTCAGTAATAATAATAATAATAATTTTTTAATAATTCTTCATTTTCCAGAAAGTTACGAGTTTACTGGAAATTTTAAAAAAATAATATTTGAGGTTTTTTATTAAAAAAAAAAAAAGCTTCCAGGATTCGATTGTTTTTTTGTTTTCTCTTTTCTCTCTCTCTCTTTACTTTCCAGAACGTGGCGTTTGTTTGTTTGTTTTATTTTTTTTCCCCCTCCTGGAAATTTTTTTTGGAAAGTTTCTTTTTTTTAAAATTGTTGTTCTCCAGTTATCGGACAAAAAAAAAGAAATTTAAATAATTTTACGAACGATTTACAATTTTTTTTTTTTTTTTTGGCCGTTTGTCATGTTTTGTCTAAAATTTTTAGTAACGCCCATTTTTTATTGTTCTCCAGATTTTTCTTTTTTTTTTTATGGAGAAAAACGAAACCCGTTAACAAATTTTTTTTTTTTTTATACGTTTTGATTAATCGAAATCGTTTTTTTTTTATTTATCCGGAGGAGTGCAAAAAAAAAAAAAAAAACATTATTCGACCGTGCAAAAATGATCGTTGAAATTTTTTCCAAAAAAAAAAAAAAGAGAGAGAAAGAGTGAGAGTGAGAGAGAGAGAGAGAAAACTGGAAAGGAAAAAAAAAATTTATTTATTTTCACCGGATATTATATAATATAAATTTTATACGGTAATCACGGAGTTGGAAAAAATAAATGATGTGTTTCGAGTTTTATTATTATTATTATTAACAACAGAATTATTTATTTATTTAATGACAATAATAATAATAATAATAAATTTACAGTGAGGATTTTAATTTTTATTCAATTAATCGTGTTTTAAATGTCGCCATTTTTTTTTTCCTTTTAACTTTTTCTCTCTCTTTCTCTCTCTCCTTTGTTTCTCTATGAAATTTCGTCGCCGTCGATTTATAAATAAATAAATAAATAAAAATCTTTTTTAAAAAGAATTATTATTATTATTATTTTTTCATTAACGAGATTAATTTTAAAAAGAAAAATAAATTTTCAATCGTTATAAGTTTTATAAAACTTTTTTCTCACGGACGATAATACTGTTTGGAAAAAAAAAAATTAAAAATACGATTTCTTTTCTTTTTTTTATCGTGGCAGCAGAGTGGAAAAAAAAAATTCATTGTTTTTTTTTTGTATTGCTTGCGACGCTTATTAATTCGCTTTCCTTCTTTTTTTTTTTTTTTTTTTAAATTAAAAATTTGCTGTTGTAAAAATATGTTTTTTTTTTTAAAAGCACGATTCGAAAGTTATTGCTGTTGTTGTTGTTGTTGTTTGTTAATATATAAGCATGGATTTGTTTTAATATTTTTTTTACGTGTTAGACGTGTCACTAACATAAATTTACAATAATTACAGGTAACGGCAACGGATGGCGATAAAGATAGACATCAAAATATTGTTTATTTTCTCACCGGACAAGGTATCGATCCGGATAATCCGGCCAATTCGAAATTTGATATTAATCGTACGACAGGAGAAATTTTCGTTTTAAAGGTTGGTCCCCCTTATTTTTTTTTCCGCTTTTCATTTTACGAGTGATGATAGCGATGATTTTTTTTTCCCAGCCTCTAGATAGAGATCAACCGAACGGAAGACCTCAGTGGAGATTTACGGTATTCGCACAAGACGAAGGTGGCGAGGGTCTCGTCGGCTATGCGGACGTTCAAGTGAACTTAAAAGACATCAACGACAATGCTCCGATATTTCCACAGGGTGTTTATTTTGGTAACGTCACGGAAAACGGAACGGCGGGAATGGTCGTCATGACAATGACGGCTGTAGATTACGACGATCCGAACGAAGGGACAAACGCGAGGTTAATATATTCCATAGAGAAAAATGTCATAGAAGAAGAAACGGGGTCTCCGATATTTGAAATAGAATCCGAAACGGGAGTTATAAAAACCGCGGTGTGTTGTTTAGATCGTGAAAGAACTCCGGATTATTCGATACAAGTTGTCGCGATGGACGGTGGCGGTCTCAAAGGGACGGGTACGGCATCTATAAGAGTGAAAGATATTAACGACATGCCACCGATGTTTACCAAAGATGAGTGGTTTACGGAAGTCGATGAAACCGCCGGCGCGAGTTTACCCGAAATACCGATTTTAACGGTGACGGTACACGACGAAGACGAAACAAACAAGTTCCAGTATAAAGTCATTGAAAACAGCGGATATGGAGCCGATAAATTTACGATGGTTCGTAATAACGACGGAACCGGATCTTTGAAGATAGTCCAACCGCTCGATTATGAAGATCAACTACAGAGTAACGGATTCAGGTTTCGAATACAAGTCAATGATAAGGGAGAAGATAACGATAATGACAAATATCACGTTGCTTATTCGTGGGTCGTAGTAAAACTCCGAGACATAAATGACAATAAGCCGACGTTCGAAAGGCCTAATATAGAGGTATCAGTTTACGAAAATGCGGAGGTTGGTAAAAGTTTGGAAACGTTTAAAGCAACGGATCCGGACCAGGGCGGTAGGAGTAAGGTATCGTACGCCATTGACAGATCATCGGATAAGAAAAGACAATTTGCCATCAATCAAAGTGGCACGGTGACGATTCAACGTAATTTAGACCGAGAAGAAACCCCTCGACACCAGGTTAAAATTTTAGCTATCGACGATGGCATACCACCGAAAACGGCCACGGCAACACTCACTGTTATCGTTCAAGATATTAACGACAATGCTCCGAGATTTCACAAAGACTACAGACCGGTGCTTCCCGAGCATGTGCCGCCCAGAAAAGTTGTCGAAGTATTAGCAACCGATGACGACGATAGATCCAAAAGCAACGGCCCTCCATTTATTTTCAGGCTCGATCCAAATGCTGATGACGTCATAAGAGCTTCATTCAAAGTTGAACACGATCAAAGTAAGTATACATAGAATATAAAATGTCGGATATGTTGGCGTCCGTCTCAACCGCTTTATTATTTTTCAGAGGGTGCAAACGGAGACGGAATGGCTGTCGTTTCATCTCTCCGTTCTTTCGACAGAGAACAACAGAAAGAATATTTAATTCCGATCGTAATAAAAGATTCTGGTAATCCAGCAATGTCTGGAACAAGCACTTTAACCGTAGTCATCGGTGATGTCAATGATAACAAAATGCAACCCGGGTCTAAAGACATATTGGTTTATAATTATATGGGTCAAGCTCCCGAAACGGAAATCGGTAGGGTCTATGTTTACGATCTCGACGATTGGGATCTTCCTGATAAGAAATTTTATTGGGAGACGAACGAAGGACATCCGAGATTCAAATTAAATGAAGATACCGGAATGTTAACGATGAAACACGGGACGAAAGAAGGAAAATATCATCTGCGGTTTAAAGTTTACGACCGGAAACACACTCAAACTGACATTCCTGCCAACGTGACGGTGACCGTTAAAGAAATATCACAAGATTTGGTATTAAATTCAGGTTCGGTGAGAGTTTCCGGTATAACCGACGAGGATTTTATTCGAGTTTGGAATTATAAGGTATGTTGTAAACGTCTTTTTTTTTTCGATGCGCTAATAAAAATGGCGGAATTTTATTAATTGTGTGATCATGTTTAAAATTTTAGAAGCAAAGCGTTGACAGAAGCATGATCGACAAATTCAGAGAAAAACTTGCGGATTTGTTAAACGTTGAAAAAGATTTAGTTGATGTTTTTAGTGTTCAATTAAGACGAAAACATCCGCCATTAACGGACATAAGATTTGCAGCTCAAGGCTCTCCCCACTTCAAACCCGTCAAACTCAACGGATTGGTTTTGATTCACAGAGAAGAAATAGAAAAGGACGTAGGAATAAACATAACAATGGTGGGAATTGACGAATGTTTATACGAAGGACAAGCATGCGAGCAAAGTTGCACGAACACATTGGATATAAACAATTTACCGTACACCGTAAATGCGAATAAGACGGCCTTGGTCGGAGTTAGAGTTGACGTGATAGCAGAATGCACGTGCGGGGCTAGAAATTTCAGCAAAGGGGAATCTTGCAAAACGAGTCCTTGTTACAACGGCGGAAGATGCGTGGAGGGACGATACGGACTAAGTTGCGTTTGTCCAAGCGGTTATAACGGACCCAGGTGTCAGCAAACATCTAGAAGTTTCAGAGGATCCGGTTGGGCTTGGTATCCTCCGTTAGACATGTGCGACGAATCCCATTTGAGCATTGAATTTGTCACTCGTAAACCTGAAGGTTTGCTTTTATACAACGGACCGATAATTGCACCGGAACCGGAAGAAATTTTAGTTTCGGATTTTATATCTCTCGAATTGGAAAGAGGACAACCGCGACTTTTGATTAATTTCGGTTCAGGAACTCTGGAACTCCGGATAAAATCTAAGAAAACTTTGGACGACGGTGAATGGCATAGAATCGATGTTTTTTGGGGAACCGAAATCGTTCGTTTGGTTGTCGACTATTGTAAATCGGCGGACATTTCCGAAATGGAAGATGGATCTACACCTGAAATAGATTTGACGAGTTGTCAAGCAGAGGGCACGATTCCTTTGTTCAATCAGTTCCTTAATTTAAACACGCCTTTGCAACTCGGAGGATTACACATGGAAAACGTGGATCCCATTCAACTTCATTGGCAGTACATGCCGATCGGTAAAGGTTTCGACGGGTGCATCAGAAATTTAATTCACAACAGTAAATTATACGATTTGGCTCATCCGGGTCTGAGTAAAAACAGCGTATCCGGTTGTCCGCAAACGGAAGAGATTTGTGCGAGCACCGAAAGTTTGGCACGATGTTGGGAACACGGTACTTGCACGGGTTCCTTAGCAGAAGCTCGTTGCCAGTGTCATCCCGGTTGGACGGGCCCCGCTTGCTACACTCCCACAGTTCCGACAACATTCGCCAAACAAAGTTATGTTAAGTACGCGTTATCGTTCGAACCCGACAGATTTTCAACGCAGATCCAATTGAGATTCAGAACTCGGGACGAACACGGGGAATTGTTTCGAGTTAGTGATCAGCATAACAGAGAATACGCAATACTCGAAATTAAAGACAGTAAATTACATTTCCGGTATAATTTAAATAGTCTAAGAACCGAAGAGCGAGATATTTGGTTAAGTGCTATAACGGTTGACGACGGACAGTGGCACACGGCAAAAGTTTCCCGATTCGGTTCGGCGGCAACATTAGAAATGGACGGTGGAGAGGGTAGAAGATACAACGAAACGTTCACTTTTGAAGGACATCAGTGGTTGCTGGTGGACAAACAAGAAGGAATTTACGCCGGTGGCAAAGCCGAATACACGGGCGTTCGAACGTTCGAAGTTTACGCTGACTACCATAACGGTACCTATCCACTCTCATAACGAACTCACAACCATGTTCGGTACTCTGTCATCATTAACTAATTATCTATTATTATTATTATTCAAATTCAGGTTGTTTGGATGACATTCGATTGGAAGGAAAACATTTACCACTTCCGCCCGCCATGAACGGAACTCAATGGGGTCAAGCAACGATGGCGCGAAATTTGGAAAGGCATTGCGCTTCTAAGAAACCTTGTGCGAACGTCATATGTCCGGATCCGTTCGAATGCGTCGATTTATGGAACGAATACGAATGCACGTGAGTTTTCTTTTTTCCTTTTACTTTTCTTTTTTTCAAATACAAGTAACGACGATTATTCAAACGAACGCGTTCTCGAACGTTTTTCTTTCTTTTTTTTTTTTTCAATATATATAAATTTCTCGTGTTTGTGATTGATTGGTTTGTGCTTATAATTAACAAACAACTAATTTCTTGTTTGTTTTTTAAATACTAACGATTTGTAGATTAAATGGCATCTATATTTTATATTCTGTATAACAAAAGAGCATCTAACGTGTGGTTTTTTATTAACCGTTCGACATTTGATTTCGATTTTTGAAATAATAATAATAATATTAATTAGTCATCAAATGTCGCGCACGATGGAGAACGCTTTATATATATATAATATGTCTTCATTTATTAAAATTATTTGTGCGTTTTGAGAGTGAGCATGTTTATTGCCCCCCCCTTATCGCACGCAGCTGTGGTGAAGGACGAATTCAATCTCCCGATCTCAAAGGTTGCACGGATAAAAACGAATGTTTGGACAGTCCATGTTTACACGGCGGTACTTGCATCAATCAAGAGCCAAGACTTCGGTACCGATGCATTTGCCCTCCCGGTTTTTGGGGTGAGCACTGCGAATTGGTTCAAGAGGGTCAAACTCTAAAATTAAGCATGGGAGCGTTGGCCGCCATTTTAATATGCCTACTCATAATATTAGGTACGTGACGTCATTAACATAATTTTTAAATATCGGTCGGTCGGTTGGTCGGTCTATCTGTCGGTTCTGTCTTCTCTCCGTGACGAAGGTGAGTTGCTGCTGGTGCACGGGAATGAATTTTTTTTTTTTTTTTTCCTTTTTCCTTCTCGTTAACCTTTTTTTCTTTTCTTTTCTTTTTTTTTTTTTGGTTTATTATTTGATTTATTGCACATTATTTTTATTTTATTTTACGTCGTCCATTTTATTTTATTTTATTTTTTTATTCGCACAATTAGTTGTCCCTTGGGTTTTAAACCCAGAGGTGTCGATTGTGAAAATGAAGATGAATGTTTGATGAATCCTTGTTTGAACGGTGGAATATGTAAAGATTACAACGATTCCCGTCGCTACGCTTGTCGATGTCCTCCAAGTCACACGGGAATGCATTGCGAGTTGGAACTACAGCAATCCGCTGTTGTTGCTTCCATAGATTTCATAGTTGCCGTCATATTTTGCGTTGTTCTTCTACTCGGTGAGCTTTGATTTGATTCCAAATAAGAAAATTTTTAATTTCAATGTTGATGATTGAAATATTTTCTTTCCTTTTTGCGCTTCCATTAATTTCCATTGATTTTTTTTCCAGTTTTGGTATTAGTTTTCGTGGTTTACAATCGACGTCGAGAAGCTCACATTAAATATCCCGGTCCAGATGATGACGTACGTGAAAATATAATAAATTACGATGACGAAGGAGGCGGTGAAGATGATATGACAGCGTTTGACATAACGCCGCTACAAATTCCAATCGGAGGACCGCTTCCGGAAATGAATACGAAACTACCCTGTAGGATGATGATGATGATGATGATGATTTTTTGCTTGTAATTTTCGATTCCGTTGCGATAATTCTTTTTTTCTATATTTCCAGTTCCTCCTTTAGGCTCCGAACCCAACGTTGGGATTTTCATTGAAGATCACAAACGACGTGCCGACAGCGATGCTAACGCCCCACCTTTTGACGATCTTCGTAATTACGCTTACGAGGGAGGCGGTTCAACAGCAGGGTCTCTATCATCACTCGCATCGGGTTCGTTTTAATTTAAATAATAATAATAATAATAATGATGATGATAATGGTAAGTCGAATTTTTAAAAATATTTTGTTCCGTCGCAGGTACGGACGACGAGCAACAAGAATTTGATTATTTGGGAGCTTGGGGTCCACGATTTGAAAAATTGGCGGATATGTACGGCCAAGATGGCGAAACGGAAGAAGAAGAAGAACAATAATTTTTTTTTTTTTTTTAAATTTTTAAACGTCTCGCTACAAACCAAAAAAAATCGTTACGCGAGCAATGTGGCCGATTGCTAAAAAAAAAAAAAATGATCTCAAAACACCATTCCCATTTCCTTTTCACCATCACGACGACGACGACGACCATCATCCCGATGCTCAAACTGCCATTTTACGTCCTTTTTTTTTTTTTTAAACACTAATAATAATAATAATAATAATGATATTACTAAGGTATTAATATTAATCGTAAGCGTAATTGTCACTTTGTGTCAATATGACAAATTGTTGAATAGATTAATGAATGAAAGTCAATTCAATGAAGCCATATTTTATTATTAACGATATCGATTTTAAATACAAACGCATTTTATATAAATAAACGCCGCGTACTTATTTATTTATTTATTTTGTAACGTAGAAGCATTTTGAGCTTATTCGCTTTCGTTAAATTGTTTAAAAAAAAAAAAAAAAAACGCCGCGGCGCGTTATTTAATATTTTACCGTCATAGTGCGTACATCAGCGCACATCCCCACAAAAAAAAACTAATTATTATTTAAACCAGCGAAAAAAAAAAAAAACGCGCGTCGTTTTTTTTTTTAAAACCGATTTCGTTTGTTCGTTTGTTTGTTTGTTTTGTAAATTAATATATACGATAGCAGTATATATAAAAAAAATATTATTATTAATATTATTATTATTATTATTATAAAAGAGTCAACAAAAAAAAAAAAATAAATAAATAAATAAAAAATAAAATAAAATGGCTCTTTCAAGACTGCCACTTGGCCGATACCAAAGGCCATACTACTAATACTAATAATTTATTATTATTATTATTATTATTATTATTATCGTATTATTATTGTATTGTCGTTTTTGTCACACACGTTAGTTATTAGTTTATATATTTAAATGATGAATGTCATGTAAATAGAAAATATTTTATTCACATTAAATAATAATAATAATAATAGTAATGATAGTAATATTGATGATAATAATGATACAAATTCATGTATCATCGTCGTCATATACGTTACTATTATTATTAATATTATTATTAGGGTAGTTTATTTATTTGTAGATAATTATAAATGAAAAAAAAAAACAAAAAAAAAAATTAAAACGCGTGCGTGAGTGCGTGAGTGAATGCGTGAACGAACGAACGAATGTTAATTTATTATTATTATTATTATTATTATTCTCTCCCCTTTTTCCACTTTTTATTACGTCATCGTCATTACACAAAATAATTACGTAACGCACGAATTTTCACAAAACCCCCTCCCCCCGAAAAAAAAAAATTTATTCGTTCGCATTATTAACATTATATAGAAATAATTCATTCACGGGTCACCCCCATCCTCTTCCCCCCACTCCTCCTTCCTCCTTCTCAAAAAAAAAGTTTAATTATAAATAATAATAATAATAATAACGATACTCAGGTACGAACACGTTTAAGATTTTTTTTTTTTAATTTTTTATTATTATTTGTCTTCGTTTGTCGTGTTTGTTATATATAAATAATAATATTATGGCCGTTGCTGAGTAAAAAACAAGAAAAAAATAATAATAATGATATTAAAACAGGAAAAATGTTGACAATTAAGTATTATTATTATTATTATTGATATATATCGTTCGATTATTTAATTAATTATTTATTTATTTATTAATTTATTTATTCTTATATTTATTTATTTCAGACTGGTTAGTTTTTAATTTAATTTAATTTAATATACATATAAAAATATTCAATTATTAATATTATTATTATTACAAACGAGTTTCACTTGAACGGGTAATAATAATAATATTAATAATCGTAATATTACATAATAATAATAATAATAAATAAATAAATAAAATTTTGTTAATGATTCATCCATGATGATGAATGTATTGTAACAAAAAAAAAATAACTGAAGGTGGTCAAAAAAATAAAATAATAATAATAATAAAATTGTGATTGATAACGACGTCACTGCCTTATCAAATAATAATAATAATAATGATAATGATAATGATAATAATAAACTTTTGAAAATCGAACAGAAAAAGAAAAAAAATTTTCATAATGTTTTTTTTTTTTTCTTTCAAACGTTACAACATAATTTTATTATTATTATTATTATTACTATCATTATTATCAATGTAGTAACAAGACCACGTCATTAAATTTCGGTTATTGTGACGTCATAATAATATAATCAAATTTTTTTTTTAAAAGGCACACACACACACTAGTATAAAGTTTAGTTTTTCATTTTATTTATTTATTTATTTAATTTTTTTAATCAGTAATTAAAAAAAAAATTAAGTCTATGATAATGATGATGATTATTACTATAAAGGAGAAAAATAATAATAATAATAATAATAATAAATAAGTAATAAATTTACCAAAGTTTTAAATAGAATTAAATTTAAATGCAAGAGTACAACGTTGGGGGAAAAATAAAATTATTATTATTATTATAACTAATATTAATATTATATTGAAAACGAGTGACTTATTGTAATGAAATTTATTATTATTATTATTATTATGGGTTGCTATTAGTTGCACTATTATTACTACTACTAAGTACGAATTGTAGTTTAGATTTATTATTATTATTATTATTATTATTACGTAAAAAAAAAAAATGCACTAAAATTATTTATTCTTTTTTGAAAAATAATTAATAAAAAAAAAAAAAAAATTTAATAATAATAATAATAATCGTGTATAATTTTATCATTTTGTATTTTTTGATATGTTCTAGTCATAATAATAATAATAATAATAATAATAATAATAATAATACTGTTTCGTAAGACAAATCAAATGGAAGAGAAAAAATTATTATTATCACTTATTTGTGTTTTTTATACATTTTTTTTCCATTTTATGTGTTTTTTTTTTTGTTTTTTTTTTTTGTTTTAAACAAATCTCAGTGAATAAATTATTTAAAAAATAATAATAAAAAAAAAAAATGAAAATAAAAATGAAAATGAAAACAAAAAAAAAAAAAGAAGAAAAAAAAAATTAAGTAAATAATTAATTATTAATAATGATAATAAATCTATCTTATAATTTTTACATTTTTATAAAACTGTAAAACTTTTTTTTTTTTCTTTTTTTTTTTTTTATAATAATAATAATAATAATAATAATTTTTTTTTTCTTTTCGTATTTTAACGATTAAAACCAAATATACATGTAAAGTAATTTTATTTTGTTTTATTAATTAATATTCGATTACACTAACCTTTAATAATTTTGTTCTTTTTGTTTTTTCCATTTTAGGGACGCCATTTTTTAAAATTATTTTTTTATAATTAACATTTGCTATTATAATTAGTAGTAATTTCGCGTCGAATGAGTGAAAATTAAAATTTTTTACAAATTTATAAAATTTATTTGAAATTTACGCGAGTTTATTTAATTATTATTTGGCGCGTAAAAAATATAAAGTTTTGAATAATAATTTAAAAAGTCACCGTTAGGGAAAATGAACGTGTCAATAGACGACTCAATAGCCATCTTGCGGTTATTCGCGTAACTAAACTCCATTAATTTCATTATTAACGACATAAAATGATGTAAGAGTCTTGTCTTTCTTTTTTTTTTTTTTTTTAATTTTTCTCTCGTGTTCTTATTTATTAAAATATAAATTAAATGTTACGAAAATGTTGAGGACGTGTGGAAAATATTTATATTCGGGTTTGGATTCCGTTACAAATTGTTACATTGAAAAATCGAATCAATTGCGTGGAGTTAATGCTGTGTTTAATAGATCCCTTCAAAAAGATGTCAACAAACCGAATATTCATAAAACATCAACCGAAAGTCAAATTAATAAATCATCAGGTATTGTAATTTTGTGTTTTATTTTTTAATATGATTTTGAATTTAATTTCATTAGACGCCATTTGTGATGTCAATCTTTACACATGTTTTTTGTTATAATGTGATTTGGTTAAATTTTTTCCTGTGAGGGAGAGACAGACGTACATTTTTTTTTTTGTTTGGGCGTCGAGTTAAGTTCGCGGTAAAATGAATTTTTTTTTCTTTCTTTGTTTATAGGCGTACATTTAAAAATGGATCTCGCTGTGGAAGGAAGGCCATTGTATTTGGATGCACAATCAACAACACCAATAGATCCACGCGTTTTAGATGTTATGCTTCCCTATTTAACTAGTTATTATGGTAATCCACATTCTAGAACTCATGCATATGGTTGGGAAAGTGAAAATGCTGTTGAAAAAGCCAGAAAGGTAAAATATTATTTTTATTCACATCCATTTTTATTTTCATTTACCATTAACATGATTTTCATAAAATTTCATGATTTTATTTTGATAGCAAGTTGCAGATATAATTGGTGCTGATTCTAAAGAAATTATATTTACTTCTGGAGCGACAGAATCGAATAATATCGCTGTGAAAGGAGTAGCTAGGTTTTATGGTAGTAAGAAAAAACATGTCATCACAACTCAAACTGTAAGTTGTCAATCTTATTTTTTCAAATCGATTTTAAAAAATTTGATCGATATCGAATGTCTACTCGATATTATATTTTTATAACAAAAATCAATAGTTTATTATTATTTTTTTTTTTCAGGAACATAAATGTGTGTTAGACTCTTGTAGAGCACTAGAAGCAGAAGGTTATAAGATAACATATCTTCCTGTAAATGCTTCAGGATTAATATCATTAGACGATTTAAAAAATGCAATACAAGAAGATACATCGCTCGTATCGATAATGACTGTAAATAACGAAATAGGAGTTAAGCAACCGATTTCAGAAATAGGTAAATTAAAATTTTTTCTAAAATGTTTTTCTTTTTCTTTTATAATTATTATTTTGTTTTTTATATTTTTTTAATCATAAAAATTTATTTTGATTTTTAGGCGCGTTGTGCAGGGAAAAAAAAATTTTTTTTCACACTGATGCAGCTCAAGCGATAGGTAAAATTCCATTAGATGTCAATTCTATGAATATTGATTTGATGTCGATTAGCGGTCACAAAGTTTACGGTCCAAAAGGTATAGGAGCTTTATATATAAGAAGGAGGCCAAGAGTGAGAGTCGAAGCTTTACAAAGTGGTGGAGGACAAGAAAGAGGATTGAGAAGTGGTACTGTGCCGACTCCACTTGCTGTCGGTTTGGGTGCAGCTTTGGAAATAGCAAAAAAAGAAATGAAAGTAAGTTTTTCTTTTTCTTTTTTTTTTTCATTATGTATTTATTCATTCAAGCATAAGTTTCATTTAACTGATAAGATTCGTCACGTTTTTTAATTGGGTCAATTATTATTATTATTTTGTAAACTATTATGTAAATTTATCAACTCCAGGTTTTTTTTTTTTTTTTTTTTCATTAATCAATTACGTAATTTCTCTGATAAAATTTTCTTAATTAGTAATATTATTATTATTATTCTTATTAACTCCAATATTTAAAATAAAAGACTAAATTTTTGTTTTTTTGTTTGTTTTCAGTACGATCACGACTGGATGGAATTTTTATCAAAACGTTTAATTGATAAAATAACTGAGAAATTACCCTGCGTTGTTAGAAACGGCGATCCAAATTCAACTTATCCAGGATGTGTCAATTTATCGTTTGCTTACGTCGAAGGTAAGTAATAATCATTATTATTATTAATATTATCATCATCATCGTTAAGGAAGATAAATAAAAAAAATACAAAAATGAGAGTTTAATATAAATTTTATTAATAATATACATAACATTTTTATTTATAGGTGAATCGTTGTTGATGGCGATGAAAGACGTTGCTTTGTCCAGCGGTTCAGCATGCACGTCAGCATCATTGGAACCATCGTACGTATTAAGAGCCATCGGAGCCGATGAAGATTTAGCACATTCATCAATACGATTCGGTTTGGGAAGGTTCACGACCATAGAAGAAGTTGATTACACGGCTGAAAAATGCATCAAACACGTTCAAAGGCTTAGAGAAATGAGGTTTGATAGAATACATATAGTGAAGATTGAGAGAAGAGATCGAATGAGAGAAGAGTGTGTGAGTGAGTGAGAGAAAAGATTGAATGAGAGAAGAGCGTGAGTGAGTAAGAGAAGAGATTGAATGAAAGAAGAGTGTGTGAGTGAGTGAGAGAAGAGAGAATGAGAGAGGAGCGCGAGAGAGTACGCAAGGGGGGGCACGCGAGAGCGCAAGTTAGGACGCGAAAGGGTACGCGAGGGGGGGCACGCGAGAGCGCGAGCTAAGACGCGAGAGGGGGGCACGCGAGAGCGTACCCGAAAGCGCGAGGGGGGGGCACGCGAGAGCGCGAGTTAGGACGCGAGAGCGCGAGTTAGGACGCGAAAGGGTACGCGAGAGCGCGAGGGGGGGCACGCGAGAGCGCGAGTTAGGACGCGAAAGGGTACGCGAGAGCGTACCCGAAAGCGCGAGGGGGGGGCACGCGAGAGCGCGAGTTAGGACGCGAAAGGGTACGCGAGAGAGTACGCGAGAGCGCGAGTTAGGACGCGAGGGGGGGCACGCGAGAGGGTACGCGAGAGCGCGAGCTAAGACGCGAGAGGGGGGCACGCGAGAGCGCGAGTTAGGACGCGAAAGGGTACGCGAGAGCGTACCCGAAAGCGCGAGGGGGGGCACGCGAGAGCGTACCCGAAAGCGCGAGGGGGGGCACGCGAGTTCGCGAGGGGGGGCACGCGAGAGCGCGAGCTAAGACGCGAGAGGGGGGCACGCGAGAGCGCGAGAGAGTACGCGAGAGGGGGGCACGCGAGAGCGCGAGAGAGTACGCGAAAGGGTACGCGAGTGGGTACCCGAAAGCGCGAGGGGGGGCACGCGAGAGGGTACCCGAAAGCGCGAGGGGGGCACGCGAGAGCGCGAGTTAGGACGCGAGGGGGTACGCGAGAGCGCGAGCTAAGACGCGAGAGGGGGGCACGCGAGAGCGTACCCGAAAGCGCGAGGGGGGGCACGCGAGAGCGCGAGCTAAGACGCGAGGGGGTACGCGAGAGGGGGGCACGCGAGAGCGCGAGAGAGTACGCGAAAGGGTACGCGAGTGGGTACCCGAAAGCGCGAGGGGGGGCACGCGAGAGCGCGAGTTAGGACGCGAAAGGGTACGCGAGAGCGCGAGTTAGGACGCGAAAGGGTACGCGAGAGGGTACCCGAAAGCGCGAGGGGGGCACGCGAGAGCGCGAGTTAGGAGCGAGGGGGGGCACGCGAGAGCGCGAGTTAGGACGCGAAAGGGTACGCGAGAGCGTACCCGAAAGCGCGAGGGGGGGCACGCGAGAGCGCGAGTTAGGACGCGAGTGGGTACCCGAAAGCGCGAGGGGGGGCACGCGAGAGCGCGAGTTAGGACGCGAAAGGGTACGCGAGAGCGTACCCGAAAGCGCGAGGGGGGGCACGCGAGTTCGCGAGAGGGTACCCGAGAGCGCGAGGGGGGGGCACGCGAGTTCGCGAGAGGGTACCCGAGAGCGCGAGAGAGTACGCGAGGGGGGGCACGCGAGTACGCGAGTGGATACGCGAGTGGGTACCCGAGAGCGCGAGAGAGTACGCGAGTGGGTACCCGAGAGCGCGAGAGAGTACGCGAGTGGGTACCCGAAAGCGCGAGGAGGGGGCACGCGAGTTCGCGAGAGGGTACCCGAGAGCGCGAGTGGATACGCGAGTACGCGAGGGGGCACGCGAGAGGGTACCCGAGAGCGCGAGTGGATACGCGAGAGAGTACGCGAGGGGGGGCACGCGAGTTCGCGAGAGGGTACCCGAGAGCGCGAGTGGATACGCGAGAGAGTACGCGAGGGGTACCCGAAAGCGCGAGAGAGTACGCGAGAGAGCACGCGAGGGAGAGCGCGAGAGCGGGGCACGCGAGAGCGCGAGAGAGTACGCGAGTGGGTACCCGAAAGCGCGAGGAGGGGGCACGCGAGTTCGCGAGAGGGTACCCGAGAACGCGAATGGATACGCGAGTACGCGAAGGGATACGCGAGAGGGTACCCAAAAGCGCGAAAGAGTACGCGAGAGCGCGAGTTAGGACGCGAGTGAGGGCGCGGGTGGGTGAGTAAGGGGGAGAGAGGGAGGGAGGAGAGAGAGAGAGATGAATCCCGTTAACCTATCTTCTGTCTTCCTTTCACTTCGCATCTCGCATTTTTCCTATTTGAATCTCAAGCGTTCAGTTTTACCTCTTCTTTTCATCTCCAATGCCTCGAAACGGTGTCCTTTCGTAGATACAGGTCTCTTTCTTGTTTTGGACGAGCTGAAATTGAACCCACGACTCTCAACTTGGTGGCAACCTCTGGCTCCCCCGATGCATCCAAGATGAGGGGCGTCCGCTAGGGACGCCCTCCTTCAACGTGGAAAATCCAGTCCGAGATCCTCCGACCCTGAAACTCAAATCAAAACATCCCTTAATATCTACCCTTCGAGTAGTTGTATTACAGTAGTACACTCTCGCTACCTCCCTCCTCCTCCTCCCTCCCCGTTAGAATAATTATTTATTATTAAAACGAGTTTAAAATTAATTGATTGAAATTTTTTTTTTTTTTTAGTCCTCTTTGGGAAATGTATCAAGAAGGAATCGATTTAAAATCAATAAAATG